GTAATTTATTGTCGCATTCAAATTAGATATTGTTGATCGATAAATCTGCAGCCGCCGATCCGAATCGGCCTAAGTTTGTTATAATCCAATCATATTAGACGGAGACACTTGGCCGATCCATTTCTGGGTTAATGAATTACCGATGAAACGGCAAATCGACACAGCTGCGGGAGACTACGCCGAGATCGATATCTCCGCAGGACTGAGTTCTGCAATCACGAAATTCCGGGCAGATCAACGTAGGAAACTGCGTTGCAAATGCGTCTAATAAACGCATGCACCTATGCGTACCGCGCGATCAACACCGGAAAATCTGCGAAAGGAATTTTCATAGCTGATCTCTCTGCATCGCGCGCGTCACTCGATTTTGATGGATGGATTTTCGGGTTGACGAAGATTTTATGGACATATGAAAGCCGGCTAAAATCCGTGGAGAGTCGATCAATTTCACGGTGTTAAAAGGAAGAGACTTGGTATCATATCTTATTTCCTAAGAATTGTCTCAGCGTATTCAATAGTGGATTACACTATTCAATAAAATGTTAATTTTTTTATAGAAACAACAAATTTTATTTTTAAATTGGACAATTTGTGAATTAAAAAAAAAATAATGATTGAAAAATATTAGTTCAAAGGTTAATAAAAGTTTCTTCTCTGATTGTTAAATATTCTATGTTATTCTTAAAATCTTGGAAAAACTTTCGTGAGACATTTAAAAGATATGAAAACAAAATCTTCTAGTTTAACTTCGGAACAGTCTATCGCGTGATTATGCACTATAGATAGAATCATACGCTATCTAGGAATAACAAAAGGTCCCTTTCGATTTATGAGAAAAAATTTCTTTTCTTAAAGTTTCTCGTAGGATTATAGTAAAGTAGTATAAATCTTTGGCGTGATAGTCTTCGTCTAATAATTCAAAGTGAATTATTTGTTCAGAAAACAATAAGGAAAAAAATCTTTAGTAAAAAAATTTATAAATACATAATTTTTTAACAAATAAGAACACAATACAGATATTTTAAAATAATTCTAATTTGTATTTAATCAATATTTTTGACTGCAATTTGCAACTTTAAAGAAAATTAAAGCCACGAAAATCCCGCAAAGCAGTACAATTTTTTCAAGAATCTCAACAATATTGTTTTATTATTTTGGAAATAAACTGTCAAGCCTAATGAAGAACATATCAGAAGGTGAAATTATTGTCGTCACTTTCAAACGGCGCGAGCGCGCGTATGAGTTCCATTACGGATAGCCAATAAACGCAAACAAGTAATAATCGATTTAGCGGCGGTCAGTGACGCCGTCTATTCAATGCATGCGGGAAATATTAACCGAGACATAGAACCGAATACCAGCAGTGTCAAGATTTAGTTAACGGTTAACAGGCACTCTCCGCGCGCTCCAAATTTAGACACTCTCGTGTCGCAATTGACCGTTATCGGAGCACCCATATATTATCGATGCATGCAAGCCATTCTGATGCATGCCGTGATGAATATGTTATTAATCTGTGTCATTGTCACATCCGTTAAGAAGCAATTATACACATAATCTGGAAGCGCTGAACAAATTTGAGAATAGATTTTGTGTTCAATCTTTTCGTGGAATTGAGTAGAGATAATTTAATTAAGACTATATAATCAATGCACCAAACGATTAACTTAATGAATTGTTTATAGATGATAATCGGGTAACATTATATTTTATCTATCGATAATGTTAACATTGACTAATAATTATACTCAGATTGCGCAAGTTACGAATATGTTGAACAAAACGTGAAATATCGCTATGACTATACAAATGTTGGATGCGATTATTATGGCATATTGAATGTGAATACGAGATGTTCCCGATGAATTATTACCATCAGATATTGTTATGTGCTAGTAAATATTTCAATGATTTTACGTTTTCGTAATAAGAGTAAAACATAAGCGGTGCAGATATACGCCAATATCGTAGTCTTCTTTGTAACATTGTATGCTTATAAAAAAATACTACAATTTAAAAATAAATCAGCAATTATATTTATTAATCCTTGCTTAACCCTACAGCACCTGCGGTAACCCAGTGATAACCGTGAGTTTAGAAGCCCGCGAAGTTGTTGCTATCGATATGTTTTGATTTTTTCTCCACTGGAAATATTAGTTCCATTCAAAACAAAGTTGATCCATAGCTTACACACCGAAAAATCAGTGTATTCGCGTCAGAAATTTTATTCGGAGTCAGTGTCTCGTGGCCTAATCTGCAAAACCTAATCGTACGAAGAAAATCGTACGAAGAAAAATACTATAAATAAAAGGTGAGTCGTAATTTTTTGTCAAAATTATTGTTAATATATCTATTTCAATGTTAAATAAATAAACCAATTATTTATCAACTTCACAATCCGTACGCTTTCTGGCACTTCTCTCTGAGTCCTGAGGTTACCACTGAGTAACCTACTTTAAAATCACGTATATTGATGCAGAACCTTGTCTAGTGGTATTTTCGTCATTAAAGTGACAAAATAACTCAGAAATATAAGTATCAGAATTTGCCTACAGCGATTTCATAATTCAGGACTTATAGGGTTAAGTGAGAAAGTTTTAAGTCTTTATTATCCCACCTTAAAAATACAAAAAAAAAAAGATGTATGCAGAAATATTTACAAAGAATCGTATATTTAATAAACGAATCGCAGGTCGTCATTGCGTACATTTTTATATCTAGCTTTCGTTATGCAATTTAATGGACGCTGGTTTAATCAAGAACGTCAGCTTCACCACATGAACAGTTTACGCGATGAATTACCGAGGCTACACCTTCCTCAAGGCTATCTGTAAATTGTAGCGAGATACGTGGGGGTGGGATTAACTAAATGAGGATATCTCAAGGGAGGATTAAGCGACTGTCTGTGCGCGGTCGTAAGCGAGGGCATTAAGATTTCCGATTAATGTTGTCCCATCGATTTTGGGATCACGTAAATATATGTATAAAGGTGAGTAAATCTATTATTTTCTTAGCTGTCTATTTTGATGGCAATAAAAATTTATTTTCCCAAATATTATGTCGTGTTGTTCTTCTGCACGTTATATGAAATACATGCATCACGCCATAAAAAATGTTGGAAGTATCTTACAAACTCATATTAAAATTATTATAATAGTGTAATATGACATAAGTGTGTTTAAATATTCAATTTCTCTTTCGTAAAATATTCATAAAGTGTATTAAACTTAATCTGCCATGCGCGATGGAAATGATGCATCGCACGATACTGAAATACATAACAATCCGTAATAGCAGGATGCTTGTGATTTGCAGATAATTTATAAAACAAAAGAAGCGCTGTACTTCGTTAAGGATGCATCGGTCGCGCAGGATAAGCGAACAGTTTCGCTTGCGGCTATTCCTCATTGAGTAGCTAGCCAGCGCAAACACACGCCCGAGACAAAATCCATGAATATGCAAGCTCGATCCAGTGGCCGTTGTTCATTTCTGAATATCCGATGAATTTACGCGCGAATGTTTTCCCTGCATCGCTCATGTCTGTCTCGGCAGAACCACGGCTGCCACGACTAGAACGAAAGCGGTGCGAAACGACACCACCATGTGTTGACCCGAAGCAAAGCATCGGGAATAGCGAGACACGCTCGTACGTCTGTGCCAAAATTTCGACTCGTGAAAGACACTCGCGGAGACAACGACGATTCACGGCAGAGAAATGCGATACTGCACGGATATGAAATTTTGGGGACTTCTATCTGGCAGACATATATTTTTTTCGCTTTTTGTAACATGCAAACGTCTCCAAACATCTTTAATCCTATTATTTCAATTTTAAGGACATATTTCGATTTATGACACACGTCGTTTCGTAATTTTTATGTGGAACGATAAGCAAAATCAACAACAATCGTGACGCATTGTAGAAAGAAAATTGTTCTATTATAAATTTTTTACATAAATGTTATATATCTTTAATATTTTTTAATGATTTTTTAAATTATAAAATTGAATAATTAATATTAATCAATGTTTAATGAGATATATTGAAAGATTATACGAGAAAGAAATTAAAAAATTCTTTATATGAAATACCGAATTTCTTTCTCTCTTTATCTCATTATTATTCACGCAGATATTAAAAAAAAATTTTATAACTTTTTTTCACTTGTTTACACTACAGCTCCTAGTTCGCTATTTTGCGTTTATTTTCTTTGTTTTTACGTTTCTATGCTTCTTATTGTGAAATAATCGGCGTATCTCTCTTGCAAGCAGAACTCAATATCATACCCTTCTATTACATATTGACGTATTTTCGCGTGCGAGTTGCACAAAGTGCGGAGAAATAAAAGTGGGAAATACGTAGGAAGAAATGAGTTTATTTAATAGCAAGCAAACGCTTCTTGCTGCGCAAGAACGAATCGGTATCGACAGAACGATACGGATAAGTATCGATGCGGAATTTCAAAAACGCGCGACGGTAGAATCTTCTCAGATTCCCCGACGAATATCCGTGGTGTTCCACCTTATTGAAAGACGGCACATGTCTCGCGAGTTTGCAATGCCTGCAACGAGCCATGAAAACGCGCGGTCTGCTGTGACGAAGTCTGCCTTTCATTCCGTAAAATGCCAGCATAGGATCAATGATCGATCTTAACTCTGAAATAATCTGTTATAATGAAAACAAAGAATTATTATTAATCGTTAATTATTAATGTTATAATACATCAATAGATTTTCTTTTACATTTCATAGTTAAAATAAAAATGTTTATCGTTTTTTGTCGAGAATACTGGAGTTTGAAGAAATTAAATCGGAAAATGCATATACCTTCAATTTGAAATTTGTCGACAGTGGATAATGCAACGGACTCGTGGAAGTGATGGATGATATTTTTTGCGCAAATTATGCGCATGTAATAAGAAGTTGCACCAAAGCACGGTGTAGTGCGTCAATATTTGCAGAAAAGTGTTGAGAGAAGGATAAACTGAATTGCTTGTCAAGAATTGAAAATAGAAATACGAAACGATCGTACAAGCGTGTAGACGTTTATTTTGCTTATTTTTGTTCTAGTTTATCAAAAATCTCGTATATCAATAAAAAAAAATATAGTGTAAAATTTTCTACAAAGTCAACAGCCATCGCAATCAAAACTGTTAGTTTTTGCATTCAACTGCTCAGAGTCATCAATGACAAACTATGATCCATGTATTATCCATAGACAAATAATTGTGACAATCGTGTGCAACGTCAAGTTTTTTAAACAAATATTCTTATATTTTTCGCATGTCAGTCAAAATTAGTTCACGTATAAATTTCCGATTAAATTGTCAATTTAATCCAGTGTAGCATATACGTCGGAAACATAGTCCACATGATCCCTCATTAAGTATCCGTGATTAATATTTCAGAACGTGTTCTGCGAAATGTATTAATGATCAGAATATACAGCGGGATTTGTGTAGCGGCTTTCCGTTTACAACGGAAATATCTATATTATCGGATTTAGATGAGCATACATTATTAATGAGGGCTTCTTATGATTATCACCAATCGATTATCGTTAGATAATGCTTGATCTATTAGTAAAAGCGAGAATTAGATCTAATTTTGACGTAGGATATTATTTGGGAAAGCAAAATATATGTGTATTATAACTTATTTAACAATAATGACAATATATTCAAAATATATGTGTATTCATAACTTATTTAACAATAATTACAAATATATTATAATAAACATATGTTATTAATAAATAATTTAAACTATTTGGTATAATATTTCTGTACTTCCGATACATATTATATTTGTCATCGTATTGCAATTATTGCGATTTTTGTATCTATCTATGTTTAATCATAATAAAATCTCTCTATTTTCACATGATTCTTTTAATAAATTACACATAATTTGCTATTAATAAAAAAAATATTCTTTATAATTCTTTCTACTACTCTGTTTGACACATAATAATTATTTTTACAGCTTGCATAGACTTTTAACTTTTTGAGCTAAATTTTTCAGTTATAAGTCAAACGACCGCGCATAACCGTGTTCATAAATTTTTCAATATATAAGTCGTGAAATTGTCAAAATGTATATTTTATGCCAAAATTTATTTATGCACAGATATCGGCCTACAGTCTGTATCAAATAACATCATATTGCGCACATAGTGTTTGTACATTACTTCAAAGTAAATTGTGTTTATCCGAGCACTTGATCTGGTTCACGTTTAATGCGTGACATAGAGTAATTATAACTTTATTAATCTAGGCGGTCAATCATGGCGTAATTGTTAGTGCAATATTCCCTAGTGTTCGTATACGACGCTGAAACTCTATCATTTTGAACAGATTGGGAGCATATAACTTTGGAACAGACCTTCATCCACGTTCGCCAAGTGAGAAGTGACTTGAGACAGAGTGGATCACGAGTGCCGACTTGTAATGCTTAGCGCATTCCGTCATTCTCATATAATTTAATATAAACTAATATAGCCGAAATACTGATGTACTTTAACTCTTTCTATCTGAAGAAAAAAAGAAAAGAAACCAAGCCAATTTATTGTTTCATAATTTGTATTGTTTAATTAAAAAATTTCAACACAATTTTTAATTAGCAGCTTGTTATAAAATTTATGTATCCAATTTACCGTTTATCTGTTTAATTGAATTTGCTAACGTATCTTTTTTTAAATTAAGCAACTTGTATTATGTATATTATCGATAGAATAGTTTGAATTAATGCATTTTGCATAACCTTTTATTATTACTCTTCAGGAAAATTCAATTATATTATAAAGTGACTTATGGATATTTAATGCTCACATTGCGTTCAATGAATTCGTAATCCATCTAATATGTCGCATCGTACGCAATGATATGTAAATGGGCAATCGTCGGTGTTGACGCAAACGTGTGGGATTTCTGCGTGAGATAATGTACTGCTAAATGTACGCGCCAACGTTGATTACGATCTGTACAGTGAGCAGATTAATTTGCGTAATTGATTTTATTCGTAATAATAATAAACGATTTTTGACGCTAATCTACTTAATTCGCACGGTCGATTCGTAAGACACTAAATATTTTGCACTTAATGAATGCGCACGATGAATGCGTGATTGGCTAATGACGAGTAAAAGTGATCAAATTGCATAAAATTATATCATAAATTTGACCATTTATGTGCTGCAACTCCAGCCACGTGCTATATTCAATTTTTGCTCCAATGTGTTGTAATAATCGATTAAACGCTAATCAATCCGACAGGCTGACGAATCGACAAATAAATAAATATGCAGATGGTTTCTCTCTACTGATGCAACCGCGTAGAATTTGAAGGATGCCAAATCGTAAAATCGAGTAATTTGTATCGATGTCAAATTGTAAATGCATTATTTGCATCGTCAGTTCATGGAATTACAGCTCATTAGCCGGATTTGCAGTACTTTTCACTCATCCATATTTTCTCGCTAAATGGCAATTTATCCTTGACATTGTTCGCATACGTCATTGCATTTTGTCGAATCTTATTTCACAGAAACGAAACGAGAATATTTATACATACATATAAAGCTATTCCAGTTTTAAAAAAATAATTAATTATTTAATTTATTTAAAAGGAATTTATTGGAAGAAATATGTATATTTCTAATAACGTGAGAAAATGTTGTATGAGTAAATTTATAATTTTCATAAAATTTTAGAATTTTACGATGCAAATTGTGAAACTGCAGCTTGTTTCCTAAAATATTTTCTTATAACGAAAGCCTGCCTAGCTCTAAAGAATATTCACGCTTTGATTTAGGCAGTTCGTGCCTACCTTGGCGATGTTGCCAAACAAAAGAATAAGGAAACAGCTCTTTTTAAAGTAAATAGGAAAGACGTACTGCTCTGAAACTAATAAACCAATATACCTGTGTCTAAAATACAGGTACCTCAAATATGAATTGTATAAATGTATGTAACGTATTTCAGCATCAAATAGAGCAATATTGGTAGGAGTTTAACATGCGATAAAAATGCAAAAACAATATTTAAATAAAAATGTGACTAACGTTTACAAAATTCATTTTACTTAATTCGATACAAATAAATATCAGCTTTAAATTGTCGTTGAAAAAAGGCATTTCTTACGTTCTAAAGATATTTCAAACTAGTGGATGTATTTCTTCCGTTACTACAGTACAACAGTACATTGTCTTCGTTATTGCAAATCCGGTGAATAATTGATAATTAACGATGGATATTTTCTTTGCGTAAAAAAGGGCGTACGTGTCTCATCCTCTAGAAAGCATGTCATATTGGACGGATTAAATGAGAGAATGCCCTGCATGCAGCCGCAGAGCATAGCACGGTCCGGACAGACAGAAAATTGAAAACTATAAATTTCTTCATCTTTCTCCTCTCTTCCTGTGCACGCTCGGATTTAGCTGGCTCATGCTACCTGCGGGATTCGAGTCCTTTTGAAACAGTTTATGAACTTGCATTATTTAAAATCCAAAATAAAATTTTGGATGCGATATTATTTCAACGATATTTGTTTGCGAACAGCAATATCACGACTATTCATGTAATAATATTCCGTTTGTAATATATCAGCTTTAAAAGCAAATCATATTTTTTATCAATACAAAAGTTAGTTGTTATTACTTAAGTACTTTATCAAAATTTGAATGAAATAATGTTTTCTAAGAGTAAAATATTCAAAAAATCAATATAAAGATGATAAATGTTTACTAATTGAGAAATCATTATTGTTTTTCGTTTCATTTCTGTTCAATAATAATTATGTCATTCATCATCACATTTCTATAAATACATATGATACTCTTTAGCTGTAGTATTATTAGAATTACTTAAAAGTTGCGCAATACATTTATACGGAGATAGATTACGGGATATTCTATCTTCGTTATTCTAGTATATGAACTGTAATTGACGTAATTTTGACGAAGACTGATTGTAATGTTAATTTTATATGTTCGCAACAAATATGTCGATATTACTTCATCCATTATGAAAATTATACGGCTAAAAAATTATATAGGTCAAGCGATCGCGAATCAAGGGAATATGTTTGACTATAGATTATTGATTTTTGCTACAACTCAAGCTACTACGACACATTATTGCTGTAAGTGTAACTTGCCAAATACAAATAATTAATAGAAAATTAATCAAGCAATGAACAAAATATATACAATTTATGCACACCATATTGCAAATATTGCGTGTGTTATTAGAATTTTTATTTGCGGCAAGTTGACTCTTGTTGGCTCAAATGCTAGATTTTCTAAATCTGACAAGAGAATATATTTACAGTAAACAATTTGCGCGTACATTAATATCTACAATTATTTGTCGGTTACATTTTCTTCTGGTTTCATATTTATTATCGACTGTTATTTCTATAAGAATCGTACAATATAAAATAAGTATAAATAAAATTAATTATAAAAATTTATAATCTATCGTCAATTTATTTCCAATCTTTTATTGAAAATAATAGTATAGAATTGATTAATCATTAAAAATTAAATAATGCAGATCATATTAGCAGTGAAAAATAATTGTACATGTATAAATTTTTTAAAATAGGAAAAATTCACAAGTAATCAAAAGTCCATTTTTTGTTGATAAAGACAACATAAGGCAGTAGTGTAGTCAATGCTTAAAAGCCTTTTCACGTTGATGCTCGATGCTCAAAAACTGCTGCAACGGTTGATTATTATTGGTCACGTCTTCTAACGCTGAAATTGAGCGTCGAGCGTCAGTGTGAAAAGACACCTTAAGGATTGTGAATACTGACAGCCAATAGGATTCATACGAATGGACCAATTGAAGTTAGATTTCGTGTGTGCTTCTTAACGACTGTGTCTCAAACCGCATGGCCTGAATGCTCACACACGTGTACAGAACGTTGAAGCGAACGGATCTCGACTTGGCAAGGTGAGTAAACTGAAGTTAATATCTACTTTTCTTGAGATAGTTGAATATCGCTTTACATTATTAGTTTGTTTATTTTATGATTTTTATTATTCTCATTATTATTAAACTAGCAAATTTTGCAAATTTCTTCTTTACTGTTTCGTCTCCGTAAATTTTGATATCACTATTTATAAGTCTTGGTGTAATAAAATTGTTAATATTGTTATTTAATTAGATCTGCAGAGTTTTCTTAATTTTATGTTTCAAGATTTTGATTAATTGTTTTGTCGCAATAAAACCGATACGTGGCTATCGTAAAATTTTACTAAATCTTTTTAAAATTTCTCTTTCTTGATTTTTATATTTATCGATATTTAGCAATTATTTATATATCAACCGTTATAATTTATATATTATAATTTGAATGTACTAATCGCATTAATTTAAATTGTGTGATATATGTTAATGATTTGGCAAATATTTATAATGAGACCGTTAAACATTCAAATTGGCTATTATCAGAAAATACAATATTCTCTTAATTCGTCTAACATTAATTAATTATTATCATTGTAATGAATATTTATATTAAAATGTTCTGCCTTTATTTTTCTAATTGATTGATAATTCCATTAATTTCGGTAAAATTTTGAAATAAAATGTAAACTACTGTGGATTTACGTTGCGTGGGAATTCTGAGTTCTTCAGTTGCTTCGACCTTCTTAGGCAATCAATATAAACACCATTTTTTCTTTACACAATATGAATCACATTCATCCATTTACACGAATATTATTACACGTTCTAGTTCTAAATTCAATTTTAATTCTTTCCTCAGTACTTTTAATTATAATTTAGTCATAAATTGTTATAAAATTATTATCCTCTATTACTTCATAAAATGTATGGATTATCAGATAAGTATCATATCTCGCATTTTTCAAATCCAAAATACTTATTTATTTCAGACAATTGAAATAGCATTACAACCTTGATAACTATCGGTTGGATAAAAGAAGTGATCTGGTCTTGTTAAGTGTTTAGAAGAAAATAGTTCAACAAATTCTTAATATGGATACCGCATATCACATCATTTTACTCAGCGCGCTTTGCAGTATGTATCTACATCGTATATAAACAATTATTTAATCATTAACTCTCTCTTAATATTACATTAACAAAAACGCAATGGAAAATAATATTTGATTCTTTATTAAGTTATTTTGTTATCTCTCATTTAATATTAAAGTGAAAAGAAACAAAACAATATAATTATATAATAAAGTTAAAAAACAATAGCAATTTACTTTTCACATATCTTGACGATTGATATATAAAACATAATTTGCTATATTTTACTGTTAGACCTCTACTTGATAAAGCATTAAATATGATAGATAAAAATGATACGAATTTTAATAATAATGCTTTATTTATTAAAATCTTTGCTAATTTTTGATAACCAAAATTTATTGATTAATTTACCAATACAATGAAGTATAGATATAAAATAAAAAAAGAAAATAAAAAATATATACAATTCTTTTCATATAAATTTAATTTTATATAACTTACATACATAATGTAATCATAAAGATTTGTGCTATTAAATTATATTTTTTGAAAATGACTTAATAAGATAAATGTATTATTTTATAACGAATTTTTATATTAAATCAGTCAGTATTGTTTATTAATATTGCTTTTTACTATTAATAAGCTTTTCGCTTGTAATTTAGTAATAATTTTTAATTACTATGGACCAATAATAAATTTGAATTATTAATGAACTTAATTTATTTATTAATAATAAATTTTTGCTTTTAACAAAATAGATTTTTAACTACCAACTTTTTGTCACTGATAAATTTAATTCAGTTCTGACAAATTTTTAATACTAATAAAGTTTATTTATTGGTAATGAGTCATAAATTAAATTAATTTTTCTAGTTACTGCAATAGAATATGCCTTGAATCGTTCTGTAATACATTCCATATGGGAAGAATTAACTATCAATATATGGCAAGACCTGGCTAAAACTTCTGAATTTATTTTTACGGGATGCGTTGTACTTTTAGTTGCCACCTTAATTGTATTGGTTACAAACATATTCCTGACGCCTACAACGTAAGTTGATTTACTTTAATATTTATGTTAATAATTTTGTAATTATTTCTTTACATATCTAAATACTTACATATCTAAATTATTTAAAATTATCTCGGAGATTTTAAGACACAAGATTAAAATTATTGGCAAAATAGTTTTCAATTTGTTTAGTAACTGATTTTGTTACATTAAATAAGTAAACAATATTAATTATAGTTATTAAAATAAACAATCCTCCAATTAGGAATAAATCTAGAAGTATATATTTAATTCTAGTAATATGAGAAATGTGTCTTAGTTTATTGCAATTCAAAAAGTAAAACTAAGAAAAATAACTGTTGGAAAAATTTGCAAATTTTTTATTTTGAGTGTTACTAAATTATCTATATATTTATATAAATGACGTTTTGTATTTCATTAGAGCAAAAAAAGTTAGCCACGCTATTCTACGCTCTAGTGATTTAACCCCCTCTTACAAAGAGACAGCCAAAGTGTGTGAAGCAAAAATTGATACAAAATTAAAACAGGTTTCACCTATTAAATGTCAAAAGGGAAATAATAATTCCCGGGAACCTAGAAGATATATAATTGTAAGATAACAAAGAATATTAAAAAATATAAATGTGCAAATATGTGTATAATTTACTGTACATATAAAAACATTATTAGCTAGTTATCTAAACAAAAGATATTATTTAAAAATTTATTAATAATTTATAACTTTCAGCTGTTGAAGGACGAAAATTGATGCCCAATTCGCAAATTCTTACGTCAGTCTAAATCGATATTACAATTATTTAGCGCACTATTAAAACATCTTATTCAGCTCAACTTTTAACTTTAAGTTCAGAATTGATCTAGAAGGGATGTTTTTTTCAGTGTACAATGTGGAATTTATTTTTAAGACACTCTTTTGCAAATTTTATAATCTAATAATAATAAACTATGTAAGCTAATTTTAAATTAATTAACAAATCAATATTTTTATTTTATTAAAAGAATATTACAAGAGAATTAAAAGAGTATTAAAACTTTCGATTATAACAAAAAATTTATGATTATTTTTATTTCTTTTTGTTTCGTTTTTTTATAAAATTTTGATATAAAAAATGTACAAGACAATAAAAATATAAATTGTCAAAGAAAGACACAAAAAAATGTTTAATTTAATAGTAACACAAATAATAAACACAAATACGTAAATAGTTATTAAGCTTAATAATACATAAATAATTATTGAAATAACGATAATAATAAATATTCTTACAAAATAAATATCCTTACATTAAAGCAATTTTAAGATAAATAAATCTTAAACTTCATTATAAATTTCAGTTAGGATATTATAATCAGAATATGTTTAAAAAAACATCGAGTATTTTACAATTTATTATATTCAAAACAATATTATTTATTATTAAAGTTATTCTGATTATTATGACAAATTTTATGTCAAAGATAGATGCTGGCGGTTAATAAATTAAAAAATTTGGTATTAGTATTATTAAAAAAATAATTTAGTTAGCACAGTGCTGCTCAATCTTTTTGAACCTTTTTGTAAAACCTTTTTGTAAACCTTTTTGTAAACCTTTTTGTAAAAAAATTAATAGAAACAAAATAATTATTAAAATTACAAATATAAATTTTATAATAGAATCAAAATCAAAATCAAAATCTATTAGAAAACACATCGCGATCAGGTTGGGCACATCTCTGAGTTAACATGATTGAACATTTTTTATATAAATATTCTATAAAAGATAGTAATGCAATTATTTAAAATCTAGATCTATAATAAGTATGCATAATTTAACTTTATTAAATAATTTTAATTTAATTATAATATAATTAGATTAAACTGATCACACAAAATCTTTATAAATATAAGTTTTTTGTATTCAAAATACCAAATTTTTTAATTTCGGCGAGTATAATAAATAAGTCAGACATAAAAACTGATAATTATTCATATATTATTATTTTTATAATTACTATTTATCGATTGTTGTAATCTTGTAATAACAAAATCCTTGTAACAAATATTGGATGACTTACAAATATAAATGTTGTGTTACAAATTCACAGCCCTGTCAATTTATTTTAATTATCACATCTTTTATTGAAAATAATTACATGATGTCATCAATGTGTAATAATACTAATAATTAAAAGTGATATCTATAATAGTATGGTATTTTAGAAGATACGTCTCACAGTTAAGCATCTTTGTGAGTAACGTATAAGCGATAAAATTGGATTAACATTTGAGCAACTAGTCTTGTAGATAATTATCAGAATATATAAATATTACAATTTGAGGTGCAATTTGTTTGTCAGAGAAAGCAATTCAATATTAGTATTATGTTGCCATCGAAATTTTATCCAAATATTTTTTTTACAATAAAAATTTTATTTACTTGCTTGAAGTTTTAATAAAGATAAAGATAGAATATGACTAACAGAAAGTATATCCAGATATTATAGATTTTATAAGTCTTATTTTATAATTATAATACAGTTGTTTTATCAAAATACTTTTTATTATTTTATTACAATAATCTAATTTTATTATAACAGTCTAGCATTAATTACAAACATATCAGCAATTAAAAAATTATATATACATATATATATAAATATAAATTAAATATAATAATTATAATATATAAAAAAATCGTACATTAGTGCAAAAAATGATGTACAAACGACAAAGCTAAGTAGTACATATTAAATCATTTAACTCACTCAATAGCAGTACAATCCCTACACAAATATCTAAATATAATGATAATTATGACCAGACTTTTTACAAAATGCTCAAAATATAATGTAACAATTAAACTGATTTATTAGTAATAATATTTTTATAAAATCTCAAATTATTCTATAAAATTATTTGTTATATGTATTGAGAATAATTATATACTATATATATTAAATTATAGAGAGAGATAATTATATATGTATAAAAGTATATGTATAAATGTATAAAAGTTACTTAACAAAATATTATAAAATTAGAATCTGCAACTAATTAAAAAAGAGTAAATTTTTACATTTTTCAAAATTTCTATTAAAGAGAATAACAGTCATATAAGTCAGTTCTAAAGTTAAATATTTATGAAGTACAGCCAATAAAATTCACGTAAAGTTATCCAATTGAAATCAGATACGTATCTTGTGTCACATATCGTCTAAGAAGAACGGAAAGATCCTTAGTATCGTGTTGTGCGGAGAATAACGAAGTAAATTCGTCACAAATTGGTAAAATAAATAAAATGCTAAATAACGTTATATATTTTTTAATTATTGGCAAATTTTTTGTCAGTTTCTCTTTGATAACGTGTTATAAATTTCTAGTGCAATTATTACCGCTATACTAAACGTTACAAAATAATTTATCAATTTTGTTTTTAAATTTGTACCTTTTCTTTTGATACTTGTTAATGTCAGCGGTATTATTATTTTTGCAGCAATTGTGATATATTGCTTTAAAATTAGTGATATTTTATAATATATTTCTTTGTGCACCATAATTTAATGATAGAATGAAAGAACATTTACGATATTAATGTCAAAATTAGTTGGGTTAGGAAGTGTGCTTTAGCAAGTGTGCTTTGTTAAATAACACACTATCAAGAGTTGTAAATATAATAAATATTTATATAAAACTATTCCGTCTTTATCCTGCAATTTAACGATTAATTAAAATCAAAATTATGGAAGAAAATATACTATCGAATACGTTGCACGTCATTCAAAATTTTTCAATTGTTATGATCTTGTCAAGCAGCCGATTTTAATCTTATTTATTCTATAAACATTATCTTCTTTTTCACGTAATCTAACGCTTACCTTAGATTATTAAACATTCTAAGATTTAAATTCCAATTTTTTCTTTAGAACTTTTAATTACACTCTACATTTATAATTTTTATCAAATAATTGTTGCACAGTTTTTATATTTATAATGCATGTGTTTTTTTCTTTTTAGGAAATCAAGACATTGCAACATTGATAAGCATCTTCAGATGAAAAATAACGTTCTGATCTTACTAAATTCTCGGAAAAAAAGAACCACACAAAAACACACTATGTATTATACATTGCGAAGAGTATGTTACATCATTCTCATGATTTTATTCACAGGTAACGATTCAGTACATAAAATATTTACATTATTTTGGTAGATTGGTACCATATTTGATCAGAATATTGCAGTAGGTGCATCATCCGATATCATCTCTAATAATTTATCTCTTTGTTTTCTCCATTCAATATTAATTAAAATAAAAAACTATATAAATAATTACCCAATAAAGTAAAAAAGTACTGCCACAAGATTCTACTTTTACAGTGTTTAGATTATGTTCATCAAAAATAATTCATACTATATTTTGAGATATTTTGTACTTCATAAAACATAATTTTTTTAGGTGCACTAATAGAAAATACATTAAGCAGTAAAATATATACAGAGTATGAAGAAGCCATTGAGAATATTTATATGAAATTCACAGAAGAAATTAAGAATATATATAAAATGTGCGAAGAAAATAATAAATTGGACAACGTTTGTGGAATTACTTTACTACCATGGACTACGATGTTTTTAACATTTTCGGCAACCATAATAACGTGCTTCTTTATAATCGATCCAATGTAAGCTGATTTATCTTAATATGTTATAATTTTTTAAAATCAGTTTATGTATTTAAATTATTCGTAGTTAATTGACGACCGGAGAGAAAAATTCGGAAAATTGTTAAATTACTAAATTTTTATTCATTGTAAAATTTTTCCTATCGGATCTTTTAAATGCTTATTTAATTTTCTAATTAATTTTGTATTTTAAGTTTTAAAGAAATATGTATACATTTATTTATTTACAAATAACATTTGTGTTTAATTAGAACAAGAGGAATTTGTTATGTCATTCGACGCTGTTTCGGATGTATCATAATGTCAAATTCGTATAATCATACAGGCAAGTTCTCTCAATCAAAATCGGCTTCTGATAAGTATTACGTACTGTCTGATGATGTAAGTACATAAATTATATATGAAATCTACATTACATTAACAAAAATACAATTGATATGGAATATTTGAAAATATATATAAATATAGATATAAATTAAGTCATTAGTGTAACTTGTTCTGCAAAGTATTGCCTACTTATTTAAGAAAAATCTTTATTTTGAAAATTTATTAAATTTATTTCTTACAGCTGTTCAATTAAAAACTACCGCCTAAATCATGAACTTTTGATCAATGTTATTTTAAACTGATGCAGTACACTTATTCACACATTGTCAAGATATATTGGATATTCTACGACAAATAACTAGTTTATAAGCATATTCTTTTGGTAGATTTATAATGTAATAATAAAAAAACTTTTCCTTTTTGGAACCAAACCATTTATATAATAAGAAGATTTTTGCATCTATAAGATTGCGATAATAATTTTATTGAAATTTGCATAATTAAATATTAGTATTTTTTTAAGTTACTATCACAATTTTAACTGCTAATAATCATAAATTAAAAAAAAAAAGTATATGAATATTAATGTTTTGACTGCTATTGATCTGCGGAACACATGAAAGAGTGTATTTATACGGAAACAATTATTGTCTTAACTTGCTTTTGAGTGTCTAAAGTCAAAAGATTAATATTTTTCTGTCAATTTATTTGTTTTAATTTTAATTTTAATTGTAATTTTTTTAATTCTAATCATTTTACATTATTTTAATAATTTCAATTATTGTTTTTTATAAGACATAATTAAATTTGTATAAAATAATTAAAATGCAAATAAATTAACAGAAATATGTTAAATTTTATATTATTTTCTTGCAAATCTAAAACAATAAGTAGTTAAACTATTCTCAGTAATATAGTAAATAGTATTATAAAATATAGAAACAATTCTTCTCTATGATACTACAATGTTAAGTAGCTTTCTTTTAGACTAATTTTAACTTTTTGACAGATTTAAATATTAATTTCCATTGCAAATTATAATACTAAAATAAAAAATAAAAATAAAAATTATTTTGTTTCTTTATTTCAAACGTTTATATACTTATTTAAAAAAAATTAAATTTTAACTATAAATTTAATATAAAAAAATTTAGAAAAATTTCAAAAAGTCTTCAAGTTTGGCAGCAACGCAATATATGATTAACTCTATTGTACTTAGAAGATAATATATATTAACTATTCAAATTTTTCATTATAATTTGTCTTTAAAAGAAGATGCATGAAAAATTTAATATCAATCTAAAAAATTTTTAATTACAAAGATGAATTTCATATACGATTGCTAATAAAATGTTTTTACCACAGAAACAGTTTTATTAAGCAGGAAAAGTTTTAGAGTTTAAAACAAAAATATTGCAAATGCTTAGATACATAATTTAAAAATTTTGGCTGAGAAAGGTACGCGACATTCAACACTGCAATATCTGAAACTGGAAGAAACTTTCCATGAAAGCGACACCTAATATGATTCATGCGAATGAGCCAAATATCATCAAGGACATCGTGTGTCGTATGGCTCCTATAAAAACAGAGCGTTTCCTACTGTTGTCATATATGTGCGGAGATCACAGAGGTAGATTGAACTCAAATTGGTAAGGTATCTAAAACTGATATCTTGTACTCACTACTTTTTACACTTACAATTAGTTGATTTATCCACTAATATCTTACTTGTTTCGAGAAATTCTTTATGTAGTGTATCGCTTTTGAATTACAATGTTACTAATAACTTTGCACTCGCGTGAATTATAAATGGGACACACAAAAATATAGCTAATATGTGTGACGAAACGTTACACTGAATGCTCTTAAGGTTTGCTATTTATTTCTCACTTGATCATGATATCTTGAACAACATTTATGTGTCAAATATTACTTATTATTTGGAATTTGACAATTTTCTACATTGTAATTGTGTCATTTTCTGCGTCATAAAGTTAATACTGTGCAAATTATTCACTATAAATTTGATGATAACGTAAATCGTGTAATATTTTTAGTTAAAAATTATCAATGTAAAAACTATATATTTCCAAAACTGTTCCGTGTTACTCGTATTGCATAATTAATAATAAATGTGCGAAATTATCAAATAGAGTATATTGATATTTACAGATTCAAAGTTCTTCAGTTGTTGCGACCTTGTCAAGTAACATATGTAAACATTTTACTGCTTTTCGTGTGTAAGTTAAATTTCATCTTTCAATTATTTAATCTCAATTTTACTATAAATTAGAGCTGCACCATTTTCTTCACAGACATTCAATACTCATGTTTAAAGAAAAAATTCTGTACTGAAAAAAAAACAAACGGACCTAAGCTCACACACTGCGGTACACACACATATACACTAGCGCACATATATATTACACACAGTGATCTGCATCATACAGATTTATTACCACCACAGACTCAGATCGCCGTAAGAGGTAAGATTTCTCGGTGCCATTACATATCTACTCTCCATACTACGGGTATCATCGTACGTGCTCTGTGTATCGATCTGATTGTGAACGCAAAAGTCATAAAACTCGGTGTGCCGGCGTTGAAGACGTAAAGCGGCTTTAATTAAGTATTGAACTTCATAAAAAATATGAGTGAATTAAAAACTTTTCTCTCCCTTTAAGGACTGAAAATTTTAATTGATACACTAAAAGGTATGTATAGCTTATTATTTTTTTCTCAATTTCTATAATCGCATTCCGTCTATATTGTCATAATACGACATAAAAATACGCAACTAACAATAAGTCTATATTTATTTCAAATGAACACGTGGCTATTTACAATTCGACGAAATATAAAAATCTGAATTCATTTACATTCTTTTTTTTTTAATTTTATGTAATATTTCTAGTTATAAAAAAAAATATTTAAATAATTTTTTGATTACTTTTTTTTATTAAAAAATCGAGAAAAATAGTTATTTGTATTAAATGGCGTGGACTTAAAATATGCACGCGTTTAAATAAAATATTAATATATTTCTTTATCTGATATTCAAATTTAAGAGATGAGTAACAATTATATGGCATACCACTGATTGGCATTTTGTAGTGAAAGTTTGTCCATGTTGACTAATCTGTAAAAGAGTTTGTCCATATGCAGTTTTTGAAAGAATATCTTTTAGATTAAATCTTTTTTTAAAGTTTTATACTTTTTGGAAATGATTCATAATGATTCAAATGATATATAATAAAAACAAAAATTTTTGCTTTATTATATTTTTATATTATTGCAATATTTTATTTATTGTTATAGTGTTGTTTTTTTAGAGCCTAACATGTAGTAAAATATCTAATTTGCAAAATTCTCCAAGTACTTCAAGTCCAAGTACTTCAAGTCCAGTACTTTTTGAAATAATTGACAACCATCCTACTGTTGATATGAATAATATTCTAAATGAAGATCAAGAAAAGGAATGATTAGAGATAGAAAATAAAGATAAATTAGAAATAGTAAATGAAATACAAAATTCAGCACTTGACAGCCGTGAATCATTTCCAAAAAGAATAAAACTTTGAAAAAAGATTTAATCTAAAAGATATTCTTTCAAAAACTTCATACGGACAAACTCTTTTACAGATTAGTCAACACGGACAAACATTCACTACAAAATGCCAATCAGTGTTGTGCCATATAATTATTACTCATCTCTTAAATTTGAATATTAGGTAAAGAAATATATTAATATTTTATTTTTTATATTTATTACATTTGTTGTATAAAACTGGATGATATCACCTTCTGCTTAATTATATTAATAATATTTTTTCAGTATTTTTCTTGTTACATAAATCACTATAATAAATTTTAGTTAATTAAAAGTTATATAGTGAATAATGTAACAAAAATACTGAACAAATATTATTAATATAATTAAGCAGAACAAGGTGATATCATCCAATTTTATACAAAGAATGCAATAAATATAAAAAATAAAATATTAATATATTTCGTTACCTGATATTAAATTTAAAAGATAAGTAACAATTATATTGCACAACACTGATTGGCATTCTGTAGTAAAAATTTGTCCATGTTGATTAATCTTTAAAAGAGTTTGTCCATATGCTGTTTTTGACGGAATATCTTTTAGATTAAATCTTTTTTCAAAGTTTTATCCTTTTTGGAAATGGTTTACGGATGTCAAGTGCTGAATTTTGTATTTTATTTACTATTTCCAATTTATCTTTATTATCTATATCTAATAATTCCTTTTCTTGATTTTCATAAACAAAAATTTTTGCTTTATTATATTTTTATATTATTGCAATATTTTATTTATTGTTATAGTGTTGTTTTTTTAGAGCCTAACTTGTAATAAAATATCTGATCCGCAAAATTTTCCAAGTACTTCAAGTTCAGTACCTTCTGAAATAATTGAATACAATCCTAGTGTTGATGTAAATAATATTTCAAATGAACATCAAGAAAAGAAATTATCAATGATAGAAAATAAGGATATATTGGAAACAGTAAATAAAATAGAATATTCAGCACTTGACATCCGTGAACCACTTCCAAAAAGAATAAAACTTTGAAAAAAGATTTAATCTAAAAGATATTCTATCAAAAACAGTATATGGACAAACTCTCATAAAGATTAATCAACATGGACAAGTTTTTACTACAAAATGCCAATCAGTGTTGTGCCGTATAATTGTTACTCATCTCTTAAATGTGAATATCAGGTAACGAAATATATTAATATTTTATTTTTTATATTTATTGCATTTGTTGTATAAAACTGGATGATAATCACCTTCTTCTGCTTAATTATATTAATAATATTTTTTCAGTATTTTTCTTGTTACATAAATCACTATAATAAATTTTAATTAATTAAAAGTTATATAGTGAATTATGTAACAAAAATACTGAACAAATATTATTAATATAATTAAGCAGAAGAAGGTGATATCATCCAATTTTATACAAAGAATACAATAAATATAAAAATTAAAATATTAATATATTTCTTTACCTGATATTCAAATTTAAAAGGTGAGTAACAATTATATTGCACAACACCGATTGGCATTTTGTAGTAAAAACTTGTCCATGTTGATTAATCTTTATGAGAATTCGTCCATGTACTGTTCTTGATAAAATATTCTTTAGATTAAATCTTTTTTCAAAGTTTTATTCTTTTTGGAAGTGGTTCACGAATGTCAAGTGCTGAATATTCTACTTTATTTACTGTTTCCAATATATCCTTATTTTCTATCTCTGATAATTTCTTTTCTTGATGTTCATTTGAAATATTATTTACATCAACACTAGGATTGTATTCATTTATTTCACAAGGTACTGAACTTGAAGTACTTGGAAAACTTTGCGGATCAGATATTTTGTTACGAGTTAGCCTCTGAAAAAAACAACACTATAACAATAAATAAAATATTGTAATAATATAAATATATAATAAAAACAAAAATTTTTGTTTTTATCATATGTCGATGAAATTTGTAGATCAAACGAAAGGAGATAAAACGTACATAATCATTGTACTTGCTACGAAGTCTTATTCGATCTATGCGAGTGGGAATTATTTGTTCAAAATCACGGTAATTGCATTCTTTTAATAGATCATCCAAAATTTCTATGTTGTTGATTCCATTTCTTGTGTTAAATAAATAACAAGGACATTTAGACAAAAAGGACAAAAATTAATTCTTACAGTGAACACGTGCATATTTTAAGTCCACGCCATTTAATATAAATAACTATTTTTCTCAATTTTTTAATAAAAACAATTAAAAAATTATTTAAATATTTTTTTATATAACTAGAAATATTACATAAAATTAAAAAAAAAAGATATATAAATGTATTCAGATTTTTATATTTCATGAAATTGTAAATAGCCACGTGTTCATTTGAAATAAATATAGACTTATTGTTAGTTACGTATTTTTATGTCGTATCATGACAATGTAGACGGAATGCGATTATAAAAAGTGAGAAAAAATTAATAAGCTATACATACCTTTTAGTATATCAATTAAATTTTTCAGTCCCAAAAGGAAGAGAAAAGTTTCTAATTCACTCATATTTTTTATGAAGTTCAATACTTAATTGAAGCCGCTTCACGTCTTTAACGCCGGCACATCGAGTTTTATGACTTTTGCGTTCACAATCAAAACGATGCACAGAGCACGTACGATGATACCCGTAGTATGGAGAGTAGATGTAATGGCACCGAGGGATCTTACCTCTTACGGCGATCTGAGTCTGGCGGTGGTGGTAATAAATCTGTATGGTACTGATCACTGTGTGTAATATGATGTGTAATATATATGTGCGTTAGTGTATATGTGTGTGTACCGTAGTGTGTGAGCTTAGGTCCGTTTGTTTGCTAAGCCCAAATGACTACGCGGTTCAGCCATCCTTGCGGAATCCCGTAGTATGCAGTAGCACGTTGAAGAAATGGCTTCCGTGCCATAAACTGATAGATTTCGTAAAGAATAATCTCTGATTTAGTAACACTTACCAAATAATGTAGTAACTGTCAGCAAATCAATCAGATAATGTTTTTAAGACAATTTAGTATTAATTATCAAATTGTTTGCTGATTATCATCAAACTTTTCAATAATAAATACTATGTAATTTAGTTAGCTCGACTAAACGCAAAATTTGCGCTTCTAAAATATTTGTAATTATTACCAAATATTATGTTATTATTATTATAATTAATAATAACAACCAAATAATTTTAAAACATGCATTACTAAATGCATCTCACAAGTTTACCTACACTAAAAAAAGGATTGGTTATAATAATCCAAACTTGGTAAAAATTACTAAGAACTTTGGTGACATAATTGCAACTAAATATATTGGTAATAATGACAAAATAATTTGGTTAATGTTAACAAATAATTGTAGCAAAATTTGATACGACTTGGTTAATATTGGCAAAGTTTGATGATTATTAACAAGTAATGATAAAATATTATCAAAGAATTTGATAAGTATAAACAGATTATTTTTTAATAATTATCGAAGTGTTTGGTAAATATTACCAAACTATGTGCGATAACTATAACGAATCGATTTGTAAATATAAACGAATTGTTCAGTAATAATTACCAAATTATTTGACATTTATCATAAAATCATGTAATAACTATAACTAAATGAGTTAGTGAGTATTAACAAATTTTTTAGTAATATTTATTAATCGTTGTGGAGAAAGGAGGATCGAAGGCCAAAGCAGGATCTCAATTGCCAAATTTCTTCTTTAATCGATAATGATAATAATAATAGACGTTTCGATCGATTTTTCGACCATCTTCAGTATACAGAGTCTAATATGTTGTACTAGCTTTCATTTAGTGAGAATTAATTGCCGGTTGTAAGTCTTTCCGATTTTGAACTGACAAGTGCTAGAACTGATTTCACAAAACGATTCGTAACACAGCCTCCTAATGTCACATTTGACGAATTTGTTACAACCGGCAATTAATTTATTTTATTTTATTTTATTAATTTATTTTTTTCAGTTTGCATAAGCCGAACACTTGTACGATATAGACTCAAATTACAATAAATTCAAATTTTTTTTATACCGTTGATCAAAATATATCATTATTATTGTCTTTCCTATTAAGTAGTAAACGTATATTTCTATCCAATAATAAGTTAGAAAAGTTACTGAAATATTTTCTCTTTTTTTGCATAAATTTGTGTTATATTAGATGAATAATTTTTCTTATATTATGATTTTTACATTTATAACATTTTGTTCTTATTTTGGTCACATAAAATGTCATTGTGGTTCTAACAATGATCAATAGGACAAAGAAAATCATAATCATTTTTTCTTAACTTTATAGGAGAAGCGATATAAACAATAATTATCAATGAATCGCACATTGCAAATATTATACACTGTTCCTCTTATAATTTTATTTTCAGGTAACAATGTGTTTGTATTTACATAAATTTTTACATGACATAATTCGTTTTATTGACTTTCTTTTAAACATGAATAAGCCATTAATTTCTGATTCAATATTAGCCAAAAAAGAAAATCTACATAATTGTATTATAAGGTTGCAGCACTTATCAGTAATTTTTTAATACTGTGATATACGGAGCATGCACATATAGAAATTGTTTTCATTATTTTTGAAATGCTTTATATTTAATGAAATCACAAATCAGTTGAAATAATATGTCATAAATTTTCAATAAATTGAATTTTTTGGCTTCAGTACAATTAAATCTACTTTGTTTCTGAACATTTGAAACTTTTAATAATTTACTAATATTATTCCGAGCAAAGAAAGTCAAAAAAAGGAATAATTAAAATAATTTTTGTTTTTCATATATGTATAATTTAATTTTATCTAATGCAAAGATGTAGAAAATATGTAAAATATGTATATCATTACTTTCTTCTAAATATTATTTGATTTAATTATAAATTTATGAGTAAGAAATAATTAATATACTATTATTAATAATAAATTTGTATCTATCAATAACAAATATATTTATAACAACAAAGTAATAACAATTTTTACTACCAATAAATATTTTAATTTCTACTGAAAACAGCTTTCATCTATTAAGATGTTTAACTTTTTAATAATATACATATACTTATATCTAAATAAATTTTTAAATAATGAATTTTTATCATTGAAAAGTAATATAATTAAATCAAATCTATGTTTTTAAGAAAACTTTTAAGGCATTAAGAATTGATATAACTGATCATAATTTATCTTTTTTAGTCATTTTAAATGTATCTACTAATAACGTAACTTTAAACAAAGAAAATAGTACAAAAAATCCGATACAAAATAATATTTCAGAAGAATATGCATATTTCATAAAAGTTTACTTAATAATAACTGGTGTGATAATAATAATCATAGTGCTGCTTCTGTGGTTCTGTCATTGCTGTTGGGAATGGTACTCGTAAGTTAATTTCTAATTTTCATGTTAATAACTTTATAATTTACGTACGTATTTAAATAATTTATAGTTAATTTAGCCAAAATGTTAAAAAAATTTATTACTTTCTAATTTAATTTATTGTATAACGTATTTAATCTTTTTAATTTTAATTATACATTTATATTTTGGTGATTTAATTTAAAATTAAAATTAAAATATCTGATAATGTGTATCTCTTAACGTAGGAGAAAACGCATAACTGCTAGACTGCACCAGCTGCGACCTAGACGTGTAGGCCCAAATTTCGAACAAGAGAACAGAGAACAACTGAGAAGATTTAGAATTGAATCTCAATTCTAGAATTGAAAGCTGCGTTGGACCCAGCGGTGGATGGGCAGAAACGTACGCAAACATACGCAAGCTTGAACATAAATTCGGGAGTAAATCGACATTTAATAGCAAAACTAAAGAAAGAGAACAAAACCGTCATCAATATAAACATAAAAATAAACGCAAAGATGAAAGCGAAGATCAACAAATGAACTTTAGCTTTCAAAATGCAGGTTACATGTCACAATCAGATGAAAACATAAAGGAACTTGTAGTCCCAACTCTAGCAAACGTTTTGCCTAAATCTGCCAAAATATCTGCAAACAATTCGCCTGGTCCTAGTAGCAGAAAATCTAGTAATAGCTCTGGCGTCAGTATAAGCGCAATAAAAGTAAGAACAGCACATATAATATGTTATATACACTAAGAAAAACGTTCTGTTTGATTCAACAAACCGTCTGTTCGATTTTAGACGAAACAGACAGATCCTGGTTGAATCTACCGGAAATCTTTTAATGCAACATCATTTTGATATTCTTGTATCTTTTATTCTAAAAAAACTGATAATAAACAATTTTTTCAGATAGCACATAAAGCAGATGTTCATGCTGCAGATGAAAAAGATGATTAGCGATGATTCAATGAGTATTAATTGTAGAATAAAGTATCATATTTAGCTAAAATCTTAATTTTAAGTTGTCTGTACTATGCAAATTATACTATGTGCGAATTGTTTATAAAATAATCTTTTTAATAAATTTATGACCTAATAATGATAAAAAAGCTACTACACGGAGAAAATTTTATATAAAAAATTATTATGTACGGTATTAAACTGCGGACCATAAAACCGCGAACCAAAAATTTTTACTATGTTTTACATGTAAAAAATAATTTAAAATTTTATAATTTCTTTATAGTCCGCGGCTACTACCGTACATAGTAATTTTTTATATAAAACTCTCTCCGTGTAAACTTATAAAAAAAACTATTCAACGTCGTATACGCAATATTGTAATAACATTTTTACTGTCATTAGAGTACTAGTAAGTAGAGAGACTGCAAAATTATCATAGCAACTTAACAACGGAAATAAATTTGCATTCTTATTTCCAAAATATTGAAATCTCTGTAACATATTTAAATTAAAATTATTGTTCGTATAGAAATGTCATTTTAACATAAAAAATTTTTTTAAACAAGAACAGACAGATGTTTGTTAATAGATTTAAAAGCTATATTTAATATTATCGCAAAAATAGTTTAGTGTGCGTGCATGTCTCATATATATAATAATAATAATAAGTAATAAACAATAAAAACATTTAAAAACATTAAAATACTGACATGCGCAAATATGTCTTATTCAAATATATTTAATAAATAGTAATAATGTAAATAAATAAATTTTGTATATTGCGGATATTAGATTTTATAAATTCAACAAATAAATTTGTACATTAAACAGCAATTACAAAAAAAATTTATTACAAATTGTTATTTTTGTTATTAAAAATTATGTTACTTAATGTATAAATCCCTCTTATGTACTTAGTGTACATGTCCCTCTTGTAACAAATTAATTTTTATTAGCAACGACTATGTAGTTAGCAAAATAAATTTGTTAGAAAAAGATTAATTAGTCGCAACTGTAACATATTAATGTGCCTTTACAAAAATAGTACTCAACAAAATTTATCTATACTGTCAACGAAATAAATTTTAATAATATATTTTAATAATTTAATAATTTTAATAATTACATTTTAATTTAATAATTTTATTAATTTTAATAAATACATTTCTTTACGTGAAATGTAAGACACGTCAATTTAATCTTATTAGTTAATAAAGGTAGTACATATCAATGCAATAATATATGATCCTATAAATGTATGATATTGAAATTAAAAGAAATTTTCTATTATAGCGACATTCAATAAAATTCATGCGAATGATCCGATATTGCCGATAATACTCTTAGGACATCGTATGTGCCTCTTCTAAGAACCGAGTATTTAAATACTGTGTGGTAGATATACAGATGCAATATTGTTCTTAAGAACATCGTATGGCTCCTATAAAAAGAGAGCATTTCTTACTGTTGTGACATATGCAGAGATCGCTGAGGTAGATCGAACTCAAATGCTAAGGTATGTAAACTAATATCTTGTACTCTAATTAATAACTAATTTTTATATTCAGTTGATTTATCTACTAATAATCTTAATCGCTTCGAGAAACTCTTCTTTATGTGTATCGCTTTTGAATTATAATGTTACAAATAACTTTAAATTTTAATATCACGTGAACTTTCTCATAAATGTGATGTATGTACAATACAATATAGCTAATGTGTGACGAAACGTTACGCTGAATTCCCTTAAGATTTGCTATTTATTTCTTAGTTAATCATAATATCTTTAACAGCATTAATGTATCAAATATTACTTATTATTTTGAATTTGATGATTTTCTATATTGTAATGTGTCATTTTCTGAATATAAATAATAATATAAATTGTTTGTCTTCATATTGTGCAAAACATTAATTTGCGAAAAAAACTGATAAGTGTAAATAATATTAAAATGTCAAACGTCATATTATTCTCTTATTATTCAATAACAATAGTACAATTATTGATTGACAATCTAATTTCATAATTACCTAATTATAGTTGTAATGATAAAAAATCTGACCTTAAAAATATTAAACTAAACATATTAGTCTTAATTTGCAGTTATACTGTAATATGTAATAAAAAATACTGTTATATGTAAAAAAAGATGCTAAAAATTTGATGTTAAAAAATTTTCAATTGCAAAGATGAATTTCATATATATAATTGCTAATAAAACGTTTTTGACAGAAAAAAGGGTAGGTTTTTTTAAGTAGAAAAAATTATAAAATAGAAAAATTGCAAATACTTAGGTACATAATTTAAAAATTTTGATTAAGAAAAGTACGCGATAATACCTGAAGCTGAAAGAAACTTTCTATGATTGTGACAATCAATACGATTCATGCGAATGAGCCAAATATTATTAAGGACATCATGTGTCGTATGGCTCCTATAAAAACAGAACATTTCTTACTGTTGTGACATATGTGCAGAGATCACAGAGAGAGACTAAACTCAAATTGGTAAGGTATATAAAACTGATATCTTGTACTCACTACTTTTTACACTTACAATTAGTTGATTTATCCACTAATATCTTAATCGCTTCGAGAAATTCTTCTTTATGTAGTATATCGCTTTTGAATTACAATGTTACTAATAACTTTGCACTTTAATATCGCGTGAATTATAAATGTGACGTACAATAATATAGCTAATATGTGTGATAAAACGTTACACTGAATGCTCTTAAAATTTGCTCTTTATTTCTCAGTTAATCATAATAACAGCATTTATGTATCAAATATTACTTATTATTTTGAATTTCACGATTTTCTGTATTGTAATGGGTTATCATTTTCTGCATAAAGCTAGAACTGTGCAAATATTCGTTATAAATTTGATGATAACGTCAATATTCTCAAAATAATCATTACAATTTATGTAATATTTTTAGTTAAGTTATTATTCCGTGTTACTCTTATTGCATAATTTTTGATAAATGTATGCGAAATTATCAAATAATGTATATTGATATGATCAAGTTCAACATTTTTCACTTGTTGCGATTATGTTAAATAACGTATGCAAACTTTATACTCGTTTTCATATGTAAGTTAAATCTTTTATCTAAGTTAAGTAAGTTTTATTTTTCAATTATTTAATCTCAACTTTATTATAACTCAGAGCTGTATAATTATCTCCACATAATAGTCATATTTTAATAAAAAATTCGATGTATCAGGTGAACACTTATACGGTCTAGACTCAAATTAAAAAAAATTAAAATTTCTTTGCTATCTTTATTTAAAATGTATCACTTTGTTTTCTTTTCTACTAAATAATAAATGTATATCTCAATCCAATCACGAATTGTGAAAAGTTTCGGAAATATCTTCTCTTTTTTGGTATAGATTTGAGATATACTAGCTAAATAACTTTTTCTCGTCTCTAAAATTTTATATTTATAATAATTTGTTGCTAATTTCAGACAATTATAACGATATTATAATACTATTAATAATCAACGTGATAAAGAAGATTGTGATCATATTTCACTACATTTTTAAGAGAAAAGACTTAAACAATAATTAACAATGCATTATATGTGGCAAATAATATATGCCATTATTTTTATAATTTTATCTTCAGGTAATAATGTAACGATATCTTACATAAAATTCCTAATTAAAGAACACAGATAATTTGCATTTATTGATAAATTTATTAATAAAAATTAAATAATGTAATAATTATAAATTAATTAAAACAATAGATAAAATCTCTTTCTATTTTAAATTAAAGTCCATTAACAATTAATATAAATGGATCATATTTTAGATTTATTTTATTCAAGCAATAAAGTAAGTGCAAATAAAGAATATAAAACAGCACAGAACAATGCGAAACAAAATAATAATACAAAAATTGAGTCTCCATTTTTAATATTTTTCATTTTAAGTGTAATAATATGTTTAATTATATATATAATTCTTTGCTCTTGTAAATATAAATGGTAAGTTGAGTTTTTTATAATGTTAATAATATTATAATAAATTTATACGCATTTAAATAATTCATAGTTAATTCGGCAAAAATATTAGGCTAATGACCAGAACGCACAGATATGAACATGAAACCATGGATATAAATGAAGGCAGAAATGAAAGCAGAGATCAACGCATAAACGAAAGCATAGATGATATAAGGAGTGAAGACATAGATGACATTTTGAATGGAAGCATAGATAGCAATTGGAAGAAAAGCACAAGTGACAGCATGCAGAATTATGTATATTTAAGCCTAGAATCCATGTCTAAACGCGACCAAGCGCCTGAAAACCATTTTAACTACAGTGTATCAACTTCAATCATTAATGAGATGGTAATACAAATTAGTACAATACAGAATATATTATATACAAAATATGTTGCAAAACTTATCTTTTATAGATTTTAATTATTTCTTTTTTTTTACAAAATTGCGATAAATATTGGTCTGTTCACGAAAAGAACACTTTTGCTGAAATATGTAAATTATGCCAGATACAGATCTGACAATAATTTTTATTGGACAATCAAAATTTATCAATAAAACATTCAAACTTTTGACTGCGATATGACTTCATTTTGTTCCATCCATTAATCAAATCGGGTGCTATATTGATAAATCTTGATTGTCCAACTAAAATTATTTTCAGATCTGTATCTGGCATAATTTCTAAATATTTCAGCAAAAGTGTCCCTTCTGTGTTAAAATAAAAATTTTTATATTTTATTTTAATGAGACTTTGTAACTTTACACCAAGTTTGAAAAAAACCGAGAAATATTTCTGTTAATTGCATCTTATAACAGAATTTTTTTCTTTTAATTTAAGCAATTGATAGTCGCTGTGCGATTATTTATAACCGAGTTATCAAAAGTTAAAAGAAAAATCATCATTTTGACTTTGATCAGTCGTTATTCGTGAACAAATCATTGTGCATTATTTTGCTAAAAACTTTTGGAAAGCTGAAGATTAACTTTTTAGTATGCTGTAACTATTTTTCTATTCACTCCATTTTTTATAATAAAAAATCAAGAAAAGAAAATGTAAAAAACATATGTTTTACTTTTTCTTTTTGTTAACTCAATATACCTACTGTCGTAAAAAATGTCCAACCAAAATCACTGAAACAAAGCTTTTCAGTCCAACTCTATCTGAACAATACACAATAATGTTCATCATTTTAAAATCTTTTTTCTATATGACGATCGTACTTGAATTAGCCAGAATTGTTAAAAAGTAATAGATTAATCTGCTCTACCGCAGTAAATATATAAAAAACTGTTAGAGAGAGAGAGAGAGAGAGAGAGAGAGAGAGAGAGAGAGAGAGAGAGAACGAGAACAAATTTTATCATTTTTAACATTATAAAATATTTTCATTCAAGAAATTGCACAATAATTTTTAGGGTAAAAACAGATATAAATGCATGAATGAAAGCATGAATAAACGCAAGGTTAAACATTTAAGTCTAGAGCATATATCTGATAAATATGCTCAAAGACAGTCGTTTAATTCTGATGAAATAAGCTCTGACAATTATGACAGTATATAATGAAAGTAAGTACAATACACAACATGTTACACATGTTTATGTTTATGAATATATGTTTTACATTGATAAAACTTAACTACATCAACTTCAAATTAGTAAAAATATTTGTTATTAAAAACTTTATTGCGAATTCCATTCTGTACGTTTTCAATCAAGTATACATTTAAAGAATATAAACAAGGCATGCATTTAATCAAATTTAAACAGTATATAAAACATATCTTACAAAAGTTTTATCCGTCAAGCAAAAAATTATTATAATTTTAAAAACTGTTAATAATCTTTTTTTGCAGATAACTGTTCGTAATCTAAAAGAAACAGAAGATTAAAATTGACGATATATCGATGAGTATAATTTATAGTGCATAAATTATCACATTTGACTCTCAATTTTAAGTTGCTTAGACTATGCATTTCTGTTAAATGCACATTGCTTATAAGTTATTTAAAGTACATAATTTTAAAATTTCTAAAAAACCGTCACACGGTGTAATAATAAAATCTTAAAATAAAATGCCTGAAGCTGAAAGAGACTTTCTATGATAGCAATAATACGATTGATGCGAATAAACCAATTATTCTTAAGGACATCGTGTGTGTCTCTTATAAAAACTGAGCAATGTTTATTATTGCAGCAAAGAACGCAGAGATACACTGACCACAAACTGGTAAGATATACGAATTGATATCTTATCCTCACTGATTTGTATATTTAGTTGATTTATCCACTAGTTTAATAGCTTTTAATTGCTTTGACCAATTTTTCTTTTATTAAATAATTAGTTAATAAATAATAATACATTAATATATTTTAGTTCAAAATTCTCCAGTCGTTGCGATCAATATGTAAAGTACTTGCAAATATTCTCCTGTTTTTCATGTAAGTTTAATTTTATGTTTCTTTGTTATTTATTTTCAAATTTGTTAATTAACAGTTTATTAATAATTAACGACTACACCGTTTTCTTTACTCGCAACAAATATTCATTGTTTAATCGAATATTCACTGTAGTAGCCAAACGTTTATATGATTTAGGCTCATAATAAACAAATTCTAATTTGTTTGTACAATATCTTTCATTAAAATTAATAATAGTATCATTGTCTTTTCTTTTAAATGATAAATACATACCTAATTCAACTATAAATTATGAAAAAGTTGCATAAATGTTTTCTTTTGTTTTGCGTAGATTTGAATTATACTAAATAAATATTTTATGATTTTTATATTTATAATGTTCTGTTACTGATTTCAGCCGATTGAAGCAACATTGCGGTACTAATAGCAATCAGTGGACAAAAAAGATTGTGATCATTTCTTATTGAGTTTATAAAAGAGACTAAACAATAATTAACAATGCATTACATGTTGCAAATTTTATATACCATCACATTTATAATCACATTTTCAGGTAATAATATCATTATATCTTTATAGATTCTCTACATAAATAATATAGTACGTTTTATTGATTTTTTCTTAAACTTTACACAAAAATATGTTTGATTAATTAAATAAGTATCCATTAATCTATTAATAACAAATTTTTTCTCTGAACAACAAAATAATATTAATTTTCACTGCTAATAAAAAACTAAATTTGTACTATCAGTAGCTTCTATCTATTAGGATGTTAAACTTTTTAATAATATAAATTTTTATATACGGCCAAATAAATTTATTAATGATGTTTGTCACATAATAACAAAATAATACAATTAAAAAAAATTTAAATTTTTAAAAAAATTTAATGTCCATTTAATGTCTATAATTAATATAATTTATTATAATTTATACTTTTTATAGTCGCTTTAAACATATCAAACAATAGTGCAAATATAAGTACAGAAAGTAAGACAAATAATACGCAAAATAATTACATATTGAAAGAATTCAAATTTTTACCACCTATTCTTACAATGTTAATATTTGGAACTATACTTATGTACTATTGTTCTGTTAAGTGGTAAGTTGATTTATAATGTTAATAATGTTATAATTTACTCATCCAAATAATTCATAAATAATGAAACAAAAATATTAAGAAAAAGTTATTAATTTTTTATTTAATTTTGTGTATAATTTAATTAATCTTCTTGTTTCTAATTATATATACTTTGGTGGTAAAAAAATTAAAATAATAATAACTAGCAATGTCTTTGTAGCAAAAAATTCAAACTTGCAATAAAGAATCGAAGAAATAGCGGATTAAAACAGGAAAATAAAGCCTCGGGTAAACGCTGGGTTGATTGCAGCGATGAACGCACAAAAAAACGCAGAGCTAAACGTAAACGCAAAAAAGGAACACACAGGTGAGTGGAAAGAGTGAAAGCACAAATGAAAGCATGACTAATAGAACATTTAAACATAGAATCCACGCCTATACATGCCGAAAAGCTTAAAAGACATTCGTATAGTTCAAATAGTAGTGGATCAAGCTGTGTACAAGTGATAGAAGTAAGTCCAACACATTCAATGTGTTATACACAGAATATGTGTTACATTGACAAAACTTATTAATTACAATGTTAAAGTATATAGAAAATAACTTAAAGCTTGCTCACATTCCTTCAAAAATAGATCTAATTACATTCAAGTCGGTACTTTCTGTACAAAATTTTGGTAGTATCCACATTTTTTTGAATTATGAGCAATTAAAAAGTTTTTTAATTTAAGCAAGAAAAAAACACATTTAAAAAATACATAGATAATAGCGCAATAGTCTTCAATTAACTTCAAATCTCATAGCTTTACTTTATTAAATTTCTAATTAAATGTTATACATACATAAAGTAAAAAATTAAAATAATGTGATAAATAATTATTTTTGTGGAGACTCTTTCGATAAAAATAAATTTTATACTAGTCAAAATACCTGTCACTGACAAAATCTTTGAATTATATTCTGTATGCACCGATCAAGTATACACCTATTGCATATGCATAAAGCATTTATTTGAACAAATACAAATGAGCAAGTGAAATTTATCACACAAAAGTTTTATTCGTTAAGCAAAATAATTTCGTTCTAATAAACTGTTAATAAACTATTTTTCAGGTAAAAGCACAAGTTCATGCAACAGAAGAAAATGATGACTAGATATATGTTTAACAAGTACATATATATATATATATATGTTTTTATATATATTTAACGAGTTATTTGTCGCACAAAGTATTCAGATCGATTCTTAATTTTAAGTTGTCTGTGCATATTTTGTTATGTGCAAATTGATTAGAAGATAAAATATCTTTTTGACAAACTTACGATCTAGTAAGGATACAAAAGATTATAAGAAATCAAGCAAGAAACTTACTCAACGTCGCTTATGCAATATTATAATAAAACTTGTACTGCGATTCAAAAATTACTAACAAAATCGCAAAATTATTCTAGCAATTTTAGTTGTTCATGATTTTTCTGTTATTAGAAATTTTATTACCACAATTCTTCAAAGAAAAAATGCAAAATTTTTATTCATAACAAATTATTTATGTTTTTTAGTTAAGTTTAACTTATTGTTAATGTTTCAATTATATTATAAATTATATATATATAAATATTATATTATATTATTTATTATATAAATTATTTTATAATTTTATTTCAACAATTAATTATTTGTTATAATTGTTTATAAAACAGTTATTACTTTTCTTATATTTTATTTTTCGATTAACTTTTCATAAAAGTCAATAACTTGAGAAAAAAAATAAATATGCATTTTTATTTTGAAAAAAACTAAATTTTTGATAACATAGGTATTTAAATTCGAATTATTGACGATACAAACGTCACTTTAACATAAAATTTTGGAGACAAGAACAGACAGATGTTCTTTAATAGATTTAAAATCACTATAATTATTATTATTGCAAAAATAGTTCATTGTGTGTCTTTTATCGTTATATACAATATAAAACATTAATAATTAATTAACAATAAAAACTTAATAAAACTCAAACTAATGCGCTATAAGCTTTACTCAAATATATTTAAATCTGTTAACTTAAATAAAATGTGTTTTAAGTATAAACAAATACATTTCATATATTGCGGATGTTAGATTTGATAAATTCGACACGTATACTCGTATGTTAAAAATAGCAAATACAAAAAAAATTTTTATGGTAAACAAATTTTGCGCTATTGTACCAAAATATATTATTAGTTATATGGAAAGCAAAAAGATTTGATACAAATATTAATTTTATTTGCTGAAAATTATATTACTAAATTTGCATATTATGTCGCAATTATAAGAAATTGATTTTTATTAGCAGGAAAACATAGCCAAAAAAACAAATTTTCAGAAATAGATTAATTTCCTATGATAGCAAAATTAATGTGCTTTTTTTGCATGTATTTATACATTATATTTTTGTTGTTATTACATTTGTGAAAGCGACTTATCCAAATTCCATAATAAAGAATACATAAACATAATTTTTTTTAAATATATTATAAAGTGTCATATTATACAAATCGAATTAATTGGCATATTTCTTTTTATCAAAACGTGTTTTACATAAAACATAATATACATATGTAGAATTAGAATTTAGATAAAAACGCGATCAACATTTCAAAAACTTAATAATAAAAATGAAATAAAAAGAACGTACAGATAATATTTACTGAAAGTAACTTATACGAAAGAAGGAATAACTAAAATTTCTATGATAACGATATCTAATACAATTCATGCGAATGAGCCAATTATTCTTAAGGATATCGTGTGTATCTCTTATAAGAACCGAACATTTCTTACTGTTGTGTATATGTACAGAGATCACAGAGGTGGACTGAACTCAAAGGTATGTAAACTGATATCTTCCACTCACTAATTTTTATATCTAGTAGATTTGTCCACTAATGTCTTAATCACTTCGAGAAACTCTTCTTTATGTAATATATCGCTTTTGAATTATAATGTTACTAAGAAATACTAAATGTAACTTTAAATTTTAATATCGCGTGAATTATATATATAAATGTGATGTACAATAATATAGTTAATATGTGTGACGAAACGTTACATTGAATGCTCTAAGATTTGCTATTTCTTTCTCAATTAATCGTAATAACAGCATTTATGTATTAAATATTACTTCTTATTTCGAATTTGACGATTTGCTATATTGTAATATTGTGTCATTATCATTTCCTGCGTCATAAAGCTAACACTGGACAATTATTTACCAGAAAGTTAATAGTAACATTCATATTCTCAAAAAATTATTACAATCTATGTAATATTTCTGAATTAATAATTATTAGTACAAAAAATATATATAAAACTATTCCGTGTTAAAATTATTAATGTGTGCAAAATTATCGAATAATTTAGATTAATATTTTTAATATATAGTAATATTTTCAAAGTTTTCAGTTATTACGACCTTGTCAAGTAACATATGCAAACATTTAACCGTTTTCGGAAAGCAAAAAGATTTGATACAAATATTAATTTTATTTGCTGAAAATTATATTACTAAATTTGCATATTATGTCGCAATTATAAGAAATTGATTTTTATTAGCAGGAAAACATAGCCAAAAAAACAAATTTCCAGAAATAGATTAATTTGCTATTTCTTTCTCAATTAATCGTAATAACAGCATTTATGTATTAAATATTACTTCTTATTTCGAATTTGACGATTTGCTATATTGTAATATTGTGTCATTATCATTTCATATTCATTATACAAAGACATTCTTTTTGCTTTCCACCGTTTTCTATTTTCGTATGTAAGTTAAATTTCATCTTGTAATTACTTAATCTCAATCTTACTGTAACTCAAAGCTGCAACATTTGCTTCATTGACAACCAATAGTCATATTTTAATAAAAATTTGTTTCATAAACCGAACACTTTTATAATCTAAACACAAATTAAAATTAATTCCAATTGCTTTTGTATCTTTGTTTAAAATGTATCAATGTTATTGTGTTTTATACAAAATAATAAACGTATACCTCAATGCAATTACAAATCGAAAATATTTTTTCTTTTTTTGCGTAAATTAGAGTCATACTAGATAAATAATTTTTCTTATTTCTCGATATTCATATTCACAATAGTTGGTTTTTGTTTCAGCTACATAAAACGTCATTGTAATACTAACAATCAGGACAAAGAACATCATAATCATTTCTTCTTAAGTTTGTAGGAGAAGCAATATAAGCAATAATTAGCAATGCATCACAAGTTGCAAATAATATACATTATTACTCTTATAATTTCATTTTCAGGTAACAATGTGTTTTTATTTACATAAATTTCTACATGACATAGTTCGTTTTATTGACTTTTTTTTAAGCGTTATTATGAATTAACCGTTAATTTCTAATTCAATATTAATTTCTTATTCCAAAAAGAAAATCTACATAATTGTATCATAAAGTTACATCACTTACCAATAATTTTAATTTTGTGATATATGGGCCATGCACGTATAGAAATTATTCTTATTATTTTTAAGATACTCTACATTTAATGAAATCATAAATCAGTAAAATAACGTCATAAATTTTTAATAATTAATTGATTTATATTACTTTGTACTTTCAGTACAATTAAATCTACTGTATATTTTAAATATTTGAAACTTTTAACAATTCACTGAAATTGTATTAGTACTGATTTTGTACTAGTACAAAAATAGTAAAACAAAGAATAATTAAAATAATTTTTGTTTCTTATATATAATTTAAATTCTATCTAAAACAAAGATATAGTAAATATATATAAAATATGTAAATCATAATTTTCTTAAATATTATTTAACTTAATTATGAATTTATGAGCGAGTCTATTAACGAATAACAATTTTTACTATCAATCAATATCTTAATTTCTACTCAAAACGGCTTCCATCCATTAAAATGTTTAACTTTCCAATAATAAATGTACTTATATGTATTTAAATAAATTTTTCAACAATAAATGTTTATCATTAAAAAGTAGTGTAGTTAAATAAAATTTATGTTTCTAAACAAATTTTAAGGCATTAATACTTAACATAATTGATCATAATTTATATTTTTTGTAGTCATTTTAACCGTATCAAAGATTACTTATGTGTATACGGATAAAGAAAACAGTACACACAATACGACAAAAAATCATGATGTAAAAACAGAGGACATTTCCGAATCCGATTACAACATCAATGTGAATTTTCCTAAAGTTTTTACTAGATATCTATTAATGTTACTTGGAATATTATTAATTTGCGGAGCTTTTTATTGGGTTGGTGTGAAATTATGGATACTGTGGTAAGTTGATTTCTTTTATCATATTAATAATATTATAATTAATTTACGCATGCATCTAAATAATTTATAGTTAATTCAAAAAATGTTGATAAAAAGTTATTTATTTTCAATTTAATTTTTGTATAATCTTTTTAAATTTTATTTAATTTTCAATATTTTAATTAGACATTTGAAAAAATTTAATGTTAACAAAATTTTATAGTTGAGGCTTTCATTCATAGCGACCAAATATTGTTTCATACTGTAAAAGATGTAGTTGTTTTGGTTAATATAATTTTTACATTTTGTCTTGACCAAATAATTTAATTAGAAAATTTTCAATAAAATTGATATTTTACATTTAATTCACACAAACCAGTTAATAAAGTTAGTTTTCAAAAACAAAATAAGATTTCCAGTGAGAAACACAAGCCAAAAAATATGTATTAAATGCGTAATTAGATATGTAATATACGTCTCCTCGACCTGTCATTTCTCTAGGGTTAGGATTAATATTCCACTTATAAAAATACATACAACAAATTAGTTGAGTTAATAAAGCAAAATTAATACAACAAAACAGATTTGTTTAAATTAATAAAACTTGTTTTGGTAATATTTTTTAATTGTATATCAAGGAAAGAAACTATAAGACAAAATGTTACTCACAAAGACATTTGTTTAGGATAACTAAATAAATTTTGTTGAGCATATTACATCCAAATATTTTTGTCACCGTATAACAAAAATTTACTGTTTTCAATTAAATACTTTTATTAGTGTATACTTTGGTGATTTAATAAAATTAAGATAATAATAACTGATAATATGTATTTAAACGTAGGAAAAAGTGGCAAACCAGATACTTGTGGCCACGCAGACGTTTAGACTCGGAATTCGAAGAAATACCACTACAGAGAATACCGCGTATTGCAAGCGACACAATACATATTAGCGAAACATTACGTAATCGCAGATATAAAAACGAAAACGAACAGTCGAATTGCACAATTTTTAGCGATTTCAGTGAATACAAAAGTGAAAATTATTGGAATGACTTTATAGAACCAACTGTGAATATTCACAGAGACAGAGCTAGACATGTCCAGCTAATTCCAAAATCAAACAGCCTACCTAAACGCCTTACAAGATATTTGCCTGGTGCTAGTAGTAGTCAATCTGATAGATCTGACAGTAAAAAAATAAGAAGAGTACGTATAATATACATAATATGTTATACACGGAATATGTGTTATACTGAAAAACAATCTATTATTTAAAGTTTAGCAAAATATATAGAATATCTTAAAATTCAAAAACATTCTTTCAAAAATAGATCTGATTAATGCTAAGCCGGTATTTTTTATTAAAAAATTTTGTAGACAAAAAGCATGCCTGAATATATCAAAGATACGTCTACAAGAACTATCCAGAAGCCTACCAGAAGCTTGCTTGGTTATAGTAGCAGTCAATCTAATAGTCCTGACCTTAGTGTAAAAGTATTCAAAGTAAGTACAATACAAAATATGTTATATGCGGAATATGTGTTATATTAACAAAACAATATATTACTTACAGTGTAGCAGTAAAGTTCAACAATATTCTTTCAAAAATAGATCTGATTAACTCTGAGCCGGTATTTTTTATTAAAATTTTGTAGTATCCAACTTTTTCGAATTATAAGCAATTAAAGATGATTTCTTTGCAAAAAAGAACATGTTTGAAAAATGGATATATAACAACGTCATTTTCTCCAATTAATTTCAAATTTCATCCTTTTATTTTGTTAAAATTTCTATTTGAATATTTAATACATAAGACAAGAAATAGAAATAATGTGGTTAATGTTCATTTTTGTAAATACCTCTACGGAAAAAATAGTCTTTATACTAGTCAAAATATCTGTCATTGACAAAATCTTTGCAAGTTTTATTCTGTGTGCTTCGGTTCGAGTTTGCACCTTTTGTACATACACACAAAGTATATACTGAATACTAATATGCGACAATAAAATCTATCATATAAAAGTTTTATCCGTTAAGCAAAAAATTTTTATTCTAAAAAACTGTTCTGAACTATTTTTCAGGTGACAGCTGAAGTTCATGCAGAAGATAAAGATGATTAGAGATGTTTAGATAAGTATTAGAAAAATTTAAAAATGGCTAAAAGAATGCAAATACGTAAGAACATGATTTCAAAATTTTAACTAGAAAAAGTAAACATCATACAGTGCAATAGTAAGATTTTATAAATATCTGACGCTAAAAGAAACTTTCTATGATAGCGACGATGAATGATTCGTGCGAATGAATAAATTATTATTAAGAACTGAACAATTACTTGTAGCATTGTAGTATCATATTCAACACAATTTTTTATTTTAAATTGTCCAGACTATGTATGTTTTGTCGAAACATATGCAAATTAGTTATAAGATAAAATATCTTTTAGACAAATTGACGATTTAATAATGATAAAAAAGGCTACTACAAATCAATCAAGTAAACTATTACATGTCGCTTTTGCAATATTGTAATAAAACTTCTACTGTCATTAGGAAATCACTAACAGTAAGATCGCACAATTATTGCAACAGTTTCTGCTGTTTATCATTTCTCTGTTGTTAAAAATTTA